CCTCTGCAAACTTAATTATCTTCCCCACTTTCTCATCTATGTGATTTATAAATATCACAAACAATAAGGGACCCAGCAGTGATCCCTGTGGTATGGCACTGGATACTGACCTGCAGTCATAGCTTTCTACCACTAAGTCAATTTTGGATCAGTCTTGCCAAGTACCCTGGATCACGTGCTTTTATCTTTTTTATCAGTTGCCCATATGGAACCTTGTTAAAGGCTTAGCTGAAATTCATATAAACTACATCGACTGTATTACCCTCATCTCAACTCCTGATCACCACCTCTCAAAATTCAATGAAGCTTATTAGGCATGATCTCCCTCTGCCATGCTGATTATCCCTAATTAAACGTTGTGTTTTGAAGTGAAGATCAATTCTCTCCTTCAGAATTTTCTCCAATAGTTTCCCTACCACTGTTGTGAGACTCACTCATCTGTAATTCCCTCCCGACCACTCCTCTTGATAAGTGAATAGTGAACCCACCTTTGAAAATGCTTGTTCAGTGGTTGTAATGCTTTCTGCTCCTTTGGAGAGTTGGTTTGTTGCTTCTTTTCCAACTAACTCCTTTCTTCCATCCCAGGTAATCAGGCAAGACCTCCTATCAGTTGGTTTCTGGATTTGTTGAATAACTTCATATTAATGAATAACTGCTTCCCTCTTATGTTGTATTTGGTGAAGAAATTGTTTGCATACACTATCTGTGGGCTGCTTAGCTGATTGTTCCTTGTTTTTAAATTCCATAGGAACAATTGGTTGTGGTGGAACTCTCAGGGATTATCGACCCAGACTTTCTGTTGAAGTGTAGAAATGAGTGTAAAATTGTGGTAAGTGAATGCAAGGCGTTATGATGAGTAGCTGAGAGCCATGTAGATGACCAGAGGGACTCTATTTTTCTATGCTTCACAGTTCTCTGCAATGGGTATCTTGTTCTGTATTCCACAATATGCTGTGGGAAAATGGACTTATCTCCCTTGCTGACCATGTTTTCTTCTCAACTGTTAGTGGGCTTTCCAGGTGGTTTCCATCTCTTGACCAAAATCTATGGCTCAGTGGGTAGCACCCTATATTGAATCTGAACGTTGTGGGTTCAAGTTTCAATCCAGACACATGAGCCCAAAATCCAGGCTGATTTTCCAGTGCTGTACTGAAGGAGTTCTCCATTGTTGGAGGAATTAGCTTTCATTTGAGACATTAACCGTCTTAGATAAACATTAAAAAGTTCACAGCACTTGTTGAAAAATCAAGAAATTCTTCCTGGTGCCATGTCCAATATTTATTCCCGTACCAACATCCAAAAACCAGTTGATCTGATCATTTTTCCTATTACTTGTGGAAGTTTGCTGCATAGAAATTAGCTGCTGGGCTGCTGATAGTATTGCAATAACTGCACTTCAAGTGCACTTAATTGGCTGGAAAGCACTTTGCAATGTCTTGAGTGTTAGATAAATATAAATCTTTTCTTTCTCTTAGCTTGAATACCTGAGTTGTCTGCTCATCTGATAAGCATTTGTCCACTGTTGTACATGTTAGCCCTGCTGTAATACTAATCAATTTTTGTAGGGCCAAGTTAGCAAATTGTCATTTATCCTTTCACTATCTCCTGTTCTTAGAATAGAATAGAAATTTATTGTCACATGTACTTTTACATGAAAAATACAGTGAAATGTTTTATAAGTTGCCACACCATGCCACCTATATTAATGAACCTGGGACAATTGCCATGCACAATGCACTTCCAAATACCTTGCAATGGTCAGTGTTGATTCATTCAATTGCAAGTTAGAAAATAATGTTGGAACAGAGTAAATGAATCATTCAAGATTTGACAATGTAATCAGTGTAGCTTATTTGGAAGGAACAGGTGACTTTGGCTGTATGGTTCCCAAACCTGTGGTTTTCCTTATATCATGTTTGATTAGCCTAAATGTTAGAGATTGATTACAATGATTAGTCAACTACACCATTCGTGTTTTATCATGTAACAAACAGAACAAAATAAGTGAAACTAAATGAATTGTAGTCCTTTCTCATCTAGCAGCTTCCATGTTCCCTTGCCTTTGAAGCAGGTTCTAAGTTTAATGCAGTCTGTATACAGTGGGTTTGCTTGAACCGTTTCCAGTTCACCTGAAACATTTGAGATTTCCTTTCTCTCCCCAGGGAATAGACACTGAGCAGCCAATTATGCAGGTGGACAGATGCGTGTTTGCTGGAGAGTATGAAGGCCAGTGTTTCACTTAATCAAGTGTTTTGTGCAACGGTTATTACAGGGGATGGATGTGGAAGAATATATCGTGGGCTATTACTAGGCTGTGAATACCAGGAAGCTCTTGGATACACCCATTTGCTTTGCTGGGCAACAGGTGGGATGTTATTGTTTACATCTATCATGTGTTGGCATGGGTAGTCATTGCTGGCATTTAGTCCTTGCAGAGGAGTCTCAGATTATGAGAGGTGATGAGGAATTTCATATAGGAATATTGAGAAATGGGATGAGCTACAGGAAATGGTATCATTCAATTTAACATACCATCACATTACTTGGAATAAGAGCCTCGTGTCTGCCAGCTCTGTTTGAGCCCCACCTTGTACTCGGCCACTTCTCCCGTCCCGTCATGGACGCTGCACTCATTCTGTGTTTCAACTTCATTTACACTTGCTATGGGCTTTTGAGAGGTGTTTCCATTTGTGACAATACGGCCTGGGAAATTATATACCAGGAAAGAAGCAAGTGAAACTCAATGTGGATGAGAGTATACCTGGATCAAACAAATTGATTCTCAACTAACTTGGACTGTTTGTTCAATTTGTAGATGTGTTGGGAACATGTGTGATATTTGAAGAGACCTCTGAGCCAGGTAAGTGTAGTCTGCTTTGAAAACAACAATTAATGCATTGATAATTATGTATGCTCAAGCTCCATTACAATAGAGAGAATTGCCGAGATGGAATTAGAAGTTAAAATGTGGGTAAATAAATCTAGAAGACAGAGGAAACATAGGCTGGATAAGAAAGAAGTGAGTTTCCTAATGCTAAATGGAATCTGTTTAATGCAAGGAACCTAAGGAATAAGAGAGATGAACTGAGGGCACAGATGGAGGTATGATACCAAAGGAATGACTGAGACTTGACTGAAAGATGGGCAGGAGTGGCATTTCAGCGCTCTTGATTACAGAGTATTTAAACAAGATAGAAGAGGATAGGGTATTGCAGTACTGATCAAGAAAACAATTATAAGAGTGAGGAAGGGTGATGTCTTGAAGGATCGTCAAATAAGACCATATGGGTAGAAGTAAAAAACAAAAGGGTCAAGAATGCTGTTAAGTGTATAATACTATAGGCTCCCAAGCAGTCAGGCAGAGACAGAAGACCAAATATGTAATCACACTTCAGAGAAATCAAAGAATAATAAGGCAGTAATAGGGGGAGCCCCACCTCAACGAATTTTGGGCAGGACATGACGTCGAACTCTCCTTCCGCTGTCTTCGCCTCCGTGTCCATTTCTTTGGACAAGAGTCCTCTCCCCATCCCACAGACACCGTCACCCAGTTCCAACACTCTCCCTCCACCTGGACCCCACCCTCTGGCCTTTTACCTGCACTCGATCTTTTCATTGAGAACTGTCGACGTGATATTGGTCGCCTCAATTTCTCTGCCCCCACCCCCTCACCAAATCCAACCTATCTCCCTCTGAACTGACCGCACTCTGTGCCCTTAGATCTAACCCTGACTTTGTTATTAAGCCTGCTGATAAAGGTGGTGCTGTTGTAGTCTGGCATACTGACCTCTACATTGCAGAGGCTGAGCACCAGCTCTCAGTTACCTCCTTCTATCTCCTCCTGGACCATGACCCCACCGTGACGCATCAGGCCGTTGTATCTACTACGGTAACTGATATCATTTCATCTGGTGGCCTTCCCTCAACTGCTTCCAAGCTGATAGTCCTGCAGCCCCACACAGTTCACTTCTACCTCCTCCCAAAAATCCACAAACAGAACTGTCAAGGCGGACCCATTGTTTCAGCCTGCTCCTGCCCCACAGAACTCATCTCTTCTTATCTTGACTCAGTCTTCTCTCCCCTGGTCCAATCCCTGACCACGTATATCCGTGATTCCTCTGATGCTTTACGCCAGTTAAAAAACTTCCAGTTTGCAGGTTCCAGCTGTCTTCTTTTTACCACAGACATGCAGTCCTTTTAAACGTCCATTCCCCACCAGGAGTGTCTTAGGGTTCTCCGCTTCTTCCTGGAGCAAGGACCTGAACCGTCCCCACCCACCACCACCCTCCTTTGCTTGGCTGTGTTTGTCCTCACCCTCAACAACTTCTCTTTTAACTTTAATTCCACTCATTTTCTACAAGTCAGAGGGGTGGCCATGGGTACCCACATGGGCCCCAGTTATGCCTGTCTCTTCATGGGGTATATGGAACATTCCTTGTTGCAGTCCTATTCCACCCCTACCCAGAACTCTTTCTCTGATATATCGATGATATCATCGGTGCTGCTTCCCTCACTCGTCCAGAATTGGAAAAATTCATTGATTTCACTTCCAATTTCCACCCTCCCCTCACTTTCACCTGTTCTATCTCTGAATCCTCCTTTTCCTTCCTCATTATCTCGGTTTCTATTTCTGGGGATAGACTGGCCACAAATATTCACAGCTACCTGGACTATACATCCTCACACCCTCCTTTCTGTAAAGACTCCATCCCATTCTCTCAGTTCCTCCATCTCCATCGCATATGTTTAGATGAGGCCAACTTTGACAAGGGAGCCTCTGAAATGTCCATCTTCTTCCCCAACCAAGGATTCCCCAGCACCGTTGTTGACAGGGCCCTCAACCAGGTCCGACTCATCTCCCACACTTCTGTCCTTCCCCCTTCTGTTCCCTCCCACAACAGCGATAGGATTCGCCTTGTCCTTACCTACCATCCCATCAGCATCCAGATCCAGAAGATCATCAGACGCCATTTCCACCACATCCAGCAAGATGCCACCACCAGACACATATTCCCCTCCTCTCTCCTGTCTGCCTTCTGCATGGACTGTTCCCTCCAGGACACTCTGGTCCACACTTCCTTCACCCCCAACACCTCCCCACAGCCCTATGGCACCTTCCCCTGTAACTGGCGAAGGTGCAACACCTGCCCATTTACCTCCTCCCTCCTCACTATCCAAGAGCCCAAACATACCTTCCAGGTGAAGCAACGTTTCACCTGCACTTCCCAGAATCTAGTCTACTGCATTTGCTGCTCATAATGTAGTCTCCTGTACATTGGGTAAACGAAGCATAGACTGGGTGACCGCTTCACAGAACATCTATGTTCTGCTTGAAAATAAGACCCCGAATTACCTGTTGCCTGCCACTTTAACACACCACCCTGTTCCCTGGCCAACATCTCTGTCTCTGGCCTCCTGCAGTGTTCCAGTGAAGCTCAACGCAAGCTGAAAGAACAACACCTCATTTTCCACTTGGGGACCCTCCAGCCCTCTGGACTCAATATCGAGTTCAATAATTTTAGGGCCTAAACTCTCCCATGTCCTAGCCCCCTACCCCACACACTAAGCCTTGTTATCACATAGCTTGCCATTACACACTACCTATTGTTAGTCACTAACAGTCCTCATTTACAGCTATTTACCCTCCTAGCCAGATCGTTATCAACTCCTTTGTCTATCCTTTGTCTGCTCTTCTCTCTCTTCAGGCTTTATCCTATCTTTTACTCCCTACCCCATACGCCTTCCTATTTTCTGCATGTAAACCGACGTTTCCCCAGCTACCATCAGTTCTGACGAAGAGTCACCAGATCCAGAACATTAACTGTGATTTTTTTCTTCACAGATGCTGCCAAACCTGCTGAGATCTTCCAGCAATTTCTGTTTTTGTTCCTGAGGTGTATCTCAGACTATTGAGGGAGGCAAGGGATGAGATGTTGGGGGAATCTGGAGTGATTTTGAAATCCTCTCTGAACGCACTTTATGTGCCAGAGGACCACTAATGTTGTCCCATAATTTAAAACTCCAGGAGGGATAGACCAAGAAATTCGAGGCCAATTATTCTTGCCACAACGGTGAGGAAATTGTTAGAAAGATTTCTGAGGATCAGAATATATCTGCACTTTGGTATTGATGAGGGTAATGCATTTGATGTGGTCTACCTAGATTTAAGAAAGGCTTTTGATAATGGCAGACTGGGTTAAGAAAGTAAGAGCCTGCTGGATCCAAGGCATCGTGACAAATTGGATCCAAAATTGGCAGAGAGACAAGAAGCTGTGGGTTATGACAGAGGGATGTTTCTGATTTGAAGTCTGTTTCTAGTGGAGTGCCACAGGGTTTGGTGCTAGGGTCTTTAGATTTGAATGTAGGATGTATGATAAAGACGTTGAAGGATGTCATGAAAGTTGTCAAGAGTTGTAAACTCTCCTGCATTCCTTCACTTACTGTTGTGGGATATTTTTATGACCGGAGAGGGCAGAAGGAATGTTGGATTACTGTCTTATCTGGAACAGATCACCCTTGGCAGTGCAACATAATTCAGGCACTGTAGTGCAGTATTATGTGCTGAAGTCTGAGTGGGGAATGAACTCATGACCTTCTGACTCTGGCACAACTGCTACCAACTGAACCAGCGCTTGACCCTGAGTGAGAAGGAAGGAAGGAGCAGAGAGATAACAAGGTGTAGAGCTGGATGAACACAGCAGGCCAAGCAGCATCAGAGGA